TATATATATATATATATATATATATATATATATATATATATATATATATATATATATATATATATATATATATATATATATATATATATATATATATATATATATATATATATATATATATATATATATATATATATATATATATATATATATATATATATATATATATATATATATAGGGATTGACTCCGGTTAGAAGACGAGTTTCGGTAAGATGACGGTTCCCCTCAGATGACACACGCGCTTCATACTTCCGTTTCATTTCCCATTTTCTTCCCCGTTTTCTTTCCCGTTTCCATCTTCTTCCCCAATTTCATTCTGTTCCCGTTTCCATCTTCTTCCCCAATTGTTGCCGATGCATTCCATCTTCTTCCCCAATTGTCGCCGATGCAATCTTCTTCTCCATTTTTCATCCTCTCTTCTCTAATTTCATTTTCTTTCTCAAATTTGAATCTGAAATCCCTAGCCGCCTCTTCAATTAATCTTCCTAATCACTTTCAAATTCATCGGCTTCTTCACGCAAATTTTATCTGACCTCTGCATTTGATTCCCAGATATGGAAGACATCGAATTCAACTTGTCATTGGATTAGTCAAGGGTATTCCTTCTTCTTCATCCGTTGGACAGCATACTACTTACCAGGTAATTGTTCTACTATGTTTCTTTATGCCTTTTTAGGATAACTTTTTTATGAGAATTTATCAAAAAGAGCTTTTTTCTATGTGATGAAAGTAATGGAGAAAGGTATGACACAAGTTGTGCCTATTAATTTGTGAGTATGGTGATTTGAGATGCCTGATGGATTCTCAATGAGTGAGTACTAAGATTTATTTTGGTTGCTATCTTGTATATTCATCCTTAATATACAAACAAGAATGTGGAAACTCAGTAATGTTTTGTGAGTTTTATCAAAATGTTTGGCGAGTTTTATCAAAATGGATACATTCTGTACAGGCTTTCAATGGACCTTAAATCCTAACTGAGTGTCTAATTTAAGAGCACAATAAATCCTAACTGAGTGTCTAAGTGATCCAAGCACAACTACTGGAGTCACAAGTTAAACACATAATCAGGACACAATTAACATTCTATTATGTTACACACTTACACGTCACCATACTGAGCATTATTAAGCTTTAAACCGCCAACATGGAAATACAGAAAAGACATTCAAACATGAACATATGCAACGTAATGTGCATCATTCTGCCACAGCAGAAGCCTGTTGTCTTATGACCTTCAAAATGTCTGCTCTTTTCGGCTCTAAATGTTCCATTTTTAAATTGATTTTCTCCAGATAGATAAATAAAAGTGCAAAAGAAATTGAACACGGTTTATGTTCACTTTTTCTCATGATAAGAAATTACAGTTTATGTTTATTTTCTCCCTCTTTGACATATTCTATAGGTTGCTTTTATCTTATGCAAATGGAAAGCTATTCAATTGATTCTAGTTTTCTACAAACGCCATCATTTGCTTCTATAACTTTGGGGAATTGGGTTCCTGATGTACCAGACAACTTAAAGATTAAAATAGGTCAAGTTTTTTCGAGTTTTGTAGAATGCCAAGCGTTCTAGAATCAGTATGCCCGGGAATCAGGGTTTAGCATACGTTGTGGTTCATCTTCAAAAAGTAAAAATGGGGATAAAACTTGGAAAACATATGTGTGTTCAAAAGAAGGCTTTAGGAAACAACCTAAAACTAGCCTTGAAGTTATAACCCATCCTCAAGAGCAGGATCCCCTTTCTGAGCAGTATCCCCTATCTGAAGTATCAATAAACTCAAAACAACCAAAAAGAAAGAAAAGAGCTAAAACTCGAGAAGGTTGTCGTGCTCGTATTTTAGTTGTGTCATGTCAGGAGGGTGTTAAGATTATTCCGTTCGAAGAGTCCCATGTCCATCCCATGGTTACTCCGAGCAGAAGACATTTCCTCTCTTCATCGAGGGAAGTTTCTACATCGCACAAGCACATGTTGTGTAGTGCTAGTAGGGTCAATGTAGGTCCCTCTAAGGTTTTTGATGTTACGGCTGAAGTGATGATGGGTCATCAAAATGTGGGTTGTACGAAAAAGGATTTTTTGAACTATCAAAGAAGCTTGAAGGCCATCATTAAGGACAATGATGCCCATATGTTTATTGACACGTTAAAGAGGAGAAAAGAGACATAGCCAGGGTTTTACTTCACATATGAAGTGGATGAAGAGAGTCGCTTGAAGAGAGTGTTTTGGGCTGATTCATTAATTCGTTTAAATTACTCTTCATTTGGAGATATACTCTCATTTGACACAACACATGGCACGAATAAGTATGATCTTACTTTCTGCCCCTTTACTGGTGTGGATAACCACCGTAAGTTGATTTGTTTTGGGGCAGCGTTAGTTTGTAATCAGAAAGGAGACTCCTTTATTTGGCTTTTTTCAAAATTCTTAGAGTCAATGTTAGGGAAGCAACCAATAAGTATAATTACTGATCAGGACCATTCTATTAGGTTAGCCCTTTCTGAAGTGTTTAAGAAATCAATACATAGGTTTTGCATCTGGCATATACTAAAAAAAGTTCCGGAATATGTGGGCCCCACTGTGAATTCATCTGAATTCATCTGAAGACTTCCATACGCGTTTGAAATCCTGTGTTTGGTCCTCAGAGAGTCCTGAAGAATTTGAAGAGGAATGGCTACGCATAATGACTGATTTTGATTTGTTGTGTAATGATTGGTTCACGCATATCTTTTCAATAAAGGAGCAATGGGCCCAGGTATATTTTGATGCCACATACTTAGGTGCTGTTGTAAGAACAATGTCGGGTTCAAAAAGCCAAAACCAAATGTTCAGTTGTTTGAAAAACCAACTAATAAGTTTGGTAGAATTTTGGGTGCGGTTTCAGCATGCCATTGATACTCAGCGTGACAATGAGTACAAACAACAGAATGCATCATTAACTTCAAATCCCGTTCTAAGAACAGAATTACCCTTGGAGTGCCATGCACGGGAGGTTTACACACACACCAATTTTTATTTGTTTCAAGAAGAATTTTGGAATGGCTTATTCTACTGTGGTATCCAAGGGATGGAATCTGTTGACGGTCAAACAATGACAGCCGTAAGAGATAATCGTGGTGCAAAAGGGAAGCTGTATAATGTCCGTTATAGTGATCTGACTGAAGAAGCTGCCACATGCTCCTGCCATTTTTTTGTGTCACAAGGAATCCCTTGTAGGCATATTCTATCAGTTTTGAATGGGCAAGGGTTTAGAGAGCTGCTAAAGGTTTATATTTTAGATAGATGGACAAAATATTCAAAGAAAAGAGCTGTTGTTGAAGGCACGATGCATTTTGATGAAACATTTAACACAACGAAGCTAGAGAATCAAACTTTATCTAATATCTGGTGCAAGTTTTACAACTGCATGCTTCTGGCAGGGCGAGATTATGAGAAATTGAAAGTGATTTTAGAGAGTACGACTTCCCTTGAGCATCAACTCACTGATATGGGGCCAACAGTTGGAAATGATAAAAAGAAAGACTTGGAAACTTATTTTGGATGCAAAGTGCCTGATAGAGTTGAAATCCATCCTCCTACCATTGGAGTCACGAAGGGAAGGAAAAGGAGGATTAAGAGTGGTGTGGAGAAGGGTCAAGAAAAACAAAAGCACACTCGACGTTGTCGTTCATGCAACAAAATGACTACGCATGACAGCCGTAATTGTCCATTGAAAAACAACAGGTTACTTTTAAATAATGTTTCATTTTAGTTGTTTCATTTAACTTACATTTAGATTTTAATAATCCTTCTTTTATAGCAAAAGCAGCAGTGATGAAGAGTAACCAATATGCTCCCGTGGTTTAGCATATACGCTGTTATTTATGATCCTGAAAGAGATTACCTTGTCAGGTATCATGTGCAATCTAATCTGATTCCAAATATTTATCTTTATATATAAGTAAAGTAATCAGGGTATTCATGTAAAGATATGTCATATTTCAAAAAGATCAAGGTTTTGGGTGTCTTCTTACTCTAAGAAACTTCTCATCTGTTACAATTATCGATATATATGATCATCATCAAAGATTTTGAGCACTTGGGGGAATAATTTGTTTTATCTCTTACAAAGAATCCGCATCTCTCCTTTCTCCTCCTCCCCCCCCCCATTTTCTTCCCCCAAGTGCTCAAAATCATTACAATTGGACTGCTAGGGTTTCTTGAATCACCATTACAAACAACCAAGTTCAAGCCGTGCAGTGAGCTCCGGTAAACTGCAATCCGGTCAAATCCTTCTTCTTCTTATTCTTCTTTTTTTGTTTAATTCTGTGTTCTGAAGAATTCATATCTGGGTGTCAAGATTTCTTTCTTTCTTTGATGTTACTGTCAATTTCTTTGTAAAAAAAAGATTGGGTTTTTCTTTCTTTCTAGTGGGTTTTTGAACAAACACGACTCAATTTGATCCAGAAATAGTTTAGCACAGTGATAATTCTTTGGATTCCCATCTTTCTAAGATGCATCTTTTTCATCAATTTGAATCCAGTCCAATTCATAGCAGTCCTGAGTCTTTGAAATGATAACAGAGTCTTGTTGATCTTGCTGACTCAGAGGTCCTAAAGCTCAGCTTTCAGTTGAGTTTGGTTCTTTGGTTGTAAATTTATGATTGGGTAGGAGTTTCTCAGTTAGTTAAGCTTATGAAGGGCATGTTCATCGTCTTTAATTTTCCAATGTGGGAATCTAACACACCAAAACCATCTCCATCTTCTTCATCTGGTTCTAGGATCAGCCCGGCACTTCTTCTGAATAGTTTTTGTACAATTATGTTGCTTATTATTTGGATTATTAATGTTGTTGCTTTGGTCATGTGGGAGGCTGATTTGCTTTGATCTTTTTACAGTGACTATCACCTGTTAACTTGGAATCAAAACAACAATAGGGAGGTCTAGCAGCTACTGTTTAGAGATTAGCAGAAGCCGAAGTTGGAATTTGAGCTCTGTATATGCCTACTGTTCCGTCTTAGTGTCTTTTTTATTGCGGACTATGGAAAAAAAATGGGGAGTTGAATGCTTTGAGAGGTTTTATTTTTTGGTTGAAAGAGTAGATTTAGAAATCTTAAGACTTTTTGCTAGAGTTTTTTTTGGTTCAAATGGAAATGATACTTGATGTGTATCATATTAGCACTTTCTTCTATCTTCTATGACTAATATTTATAAACTCCATGTCAATTTGCTTCTTTTGATTTGGATTTCTTTTCTACTTCTTTAAATTGAGAGTGTTGTTTTCAAAGTTGGTAACAATGCTGTTAAAATATTACTTCTATAAGGTGATCAAATATTACTAGGGAAGGACACTTATTCTAACATTGCAAAATTCATACAACACTAGATCCAGTTCGGGGCCAACATTTTTTTTCGTCAATGCTTTTAAACGATGACTATATTTTTTCCCATTTTGACTTTTGGGGCAAACATTTTAAACTTTGAGAATAAATTACGGAAAAAATATACTACCTCCGTCCTAGAGTATTTGTCCACTGTCGTTTTTAGACACCATGCAATACACTTCTTTAATCCATTTTATCTTGTAATTTGTATATTAAAAAATTATAGAAATTATATATTAATAATCTATATGTTAAGACAAATCAAACAAGATTACACATGACTATATTTAGGCTTACACATTGAGAGAATTTGATGAGTCAAAGTGCTTAGATGAACAGTTCCAAAAGTCAAAAGTGGACGAATATACCAGGACGGAGGGAGTATTAGATTGTGATAAAAATTTAAGAGTAAAGAGAATGGACACCGGGCACTTCTCATCCATTTCCTTCCGTAAATGCGCCACAAAATTGCCTTCTTGTTAATAACCCAATACATGGGTATAAAAATTTGATGAGCTTTCTCAATATATTTGGTGAGCTTTGTAGTTAAGTTTGGTGAGCTTTGTAGTTAAGTTTGGTGAGCTTTCTCAATATATTTATTGAGCTTTCATGTAAAAAACAAAGTCTTAGTCTTAAATTATTTGGTGAGCTTTCTTAATATATTTGGTGAGCTTTCTCAATATATTTGGTGAGCTTTGTAGTTAAGTTTGGTGAGCTTTCTAGTTATGTTTGGTGAGCTTTCTAGTTATGTTTGGTGAGCTTTCTTAATATATGTGGTGAGCTTTCTCAATATTTTTGGTGAGCTTTCTCAATATACGTGGTGAGCTTTGTTGTTAGGTTTGGTTAGCTTTGTAGTAATGTTTGGTGAGCTTTCATATAAAAAACAAAGTCTTGGTCTTAAATTATTTGGTGAGCTTTCTAGTTATGTTTGGTGAGCTTTCTTAATATATTTGGTGAGCTTTCTCAATATATTTGGTGAGCTTTCTTAATATATTTGGTGAGCTTTTTAGTTATGTTTGGTGAGCTTTCTTGTTATGTTTGGTGAGCTTTCTCAATATATTTGGTGAGCTTTCTAGTTATGTTTGGTGAGCTTGTTTACAGCGGGGAGATTCCCATTTGGACGCACGAAAATGTGAAAGCGCTTCTGCGGGACAACTTTAACGTTAAAACCCCCTCCTCGTCCTCGTCTCAGCCCTCACTCTCTTGGAAATTATTTGGCATGTTTAAGACGAAGACGAAGACGAAGATCGTTGCACATTTTAGCAATTGCATATAAAGACAATGTAAAGTTGCAAAACCAAAGACAGAATTAATTGTAACCATTGATCAATAAAGATCAAATCCACCACAAAAACTTAATCAAATCAGACATTAGGCCAAAAATCAAACTGTCACTGTATGTGTCCAAGTGTGACACATATCCTAGTTGATAAACTTTCCATATTCTGCCACTTTCCATTTCACTTGTACGGCAAGTTGATTATGATCAGAGGTGAGCATTTCGTAGCAATATCGGACACAGAGCATTCTTAATCCATTTACCTACCAAGAAATTTAAACTTTAATTAAAATAAGATAAAATGTGTGATAATTTTATCTTATTTCACCTTATAAACAAAAAAGACATAAGACTTACATCATTTTTGTTCAAATCCATCTTCCACGTATTCAAATTCCCCTTGAAAGTTTCCAATTGCCTCATGGCTATGACACCAACACCCTTACCTTCCATGTTCCCATAACATGCCTTCTTTGTTATTTCAAAAGGAAATTTGGAAATTTTACTTGCTTTTTGCTCAAGTTGTTTTTCATTGAAATACTGGCACATTCCCTTTTTCTGCAAGTCAATGAGACTATATTAGATTAAGTTGAAGAATAAACAATGAAATTCAAACTTAAGTCAGTATTACCACGCTTTAAAAAGGATCTTACCAAACATTCAACACATGTATCATACACCTTAGTTTTATCTTCAATTGAATCAATGATGGTTATCTTCTCCTTTTTCATGTTAAAACAAACTATATAAACATCATCCTTGTCTGTTTCATCAGCAACCAAGAAGAATACCTGCAGTAAAATAAGAACAGAAATGATATCAGAATAAATGAATACATTAGATACAAAACACTAAAAACAAACAATTCCATGTAGCTGACCAAATCTGCAGTACTCATATCAATGCCGCTATAAAACTGTTGTTCTACCAATTCTCTGTCAGCAACTTCACAAAAGGTTTCATGAGCATCGTCAAAAGGTGTCACATTTGAATATCTCCACTTTTATACACTTAAGTATATGAATAATGTAAAGAGGTTACATACAAAAGGATTCGTGCTAAGGAAAACTCGATAGACATCTGACTTGCTTCGATGCTTTTCCTCGGCATTAAAGAATCGACACTAAATCTGTAAAATAAGTGACGAGACAGACCCTTCGAAAAAGGATATTAAATTGCTTCGCTTCATTTCACAAAACATGTCTTTGTACAAAACTTCCCTGTAATTAAAATTATGGAAAATAGGATAAATAAATATCAAAAAAATCTTAATAATAATAATTAAATTAAGTAACTTTTTTACAAAACAACGTGAAAAGGTAACACTTACCCAAGTAAAAGAGATTTGTTGAATACGTAGTCCGTGAGAACCTTTTCGGCACGGCTCAACCGTGAGAGTGCTTCCATGTTTCTTATCCAAAAAGGAGAACATAAGGCGCATGCAAATTCTTTCTTCCTTTGGGGCTGAAGTCGTCTTTTAATGAATACAGGAACAGGGCTAGGACCGGATGCAATTTCTTGACTTGTAAAGTGAGTATATGGTGGGGTTGGCTGAAAAAGAACAGTTTCTTCTTGTTGCCCTTGAACTGCACTCTCTGGAAAAGCTGGGATAGGCTCAATTTGGGGGTGACTCTGTACATCATCTGCCAATGCAGTGAGATTGCATGTTTGGGCTGTGTCATCTCCATTCTTTGTTTGAATCTCCTCATGCTGAACCTCTTCATGTTGAATCTCCTCATTTTGATTTTCCTTTTCCTCTGGTGTAAGCCCTAAGCTAAATGATGGCATGGACAAGTCTTGGCTGTTGGTCTCAAGGTTGCGCTTCACCGTGAAAAATTCCATTTCAAGTCGAGATATTTCAGCCAAGAAAAAAGGGCTCTCGTGGACTACTTCGAATTGCAGTTTCGGATTTTTTTCCGAAATTGGAGTACCTGATATTCTTGGACTTTTACCAATAGCAACAATCACTTCTGCAGCAGTTTGTTGCATTCTCTTGACGGCATTTGAATTTGGGAACTCACTATTCAAGCCTCTACAGACGGTGTCCCACTTTGATATTTTTTGCACCAACTCTTTTGTAGCAGTCCGTGCCTCCTCTAAAACGTCGTTCTAAAATAAGTTTTTAAAAAAGAAAAAAGTGTGTCAAGTTACTTTGATATTCAATGCTTCATCAACTTCAAATTATCCACTCAAAGTCAAACCAAATAAATATGAAAAAGAAGCAAGAGCATGATCACTTCATTCATCCAAGCAAGGAGTTAATTTAGGAGACTAAGACATTGATTGAACAATCATAGAGTGTGTTTGTGTAAAAATGGATTGGATGGCAGGTAGTGAACTGAAATGGGAAATGAAATTATAGAAAAAAAAGCAAAGCACTAGTGTAGGCAGGGCATGGATTTTTGAACATAAAGAAAACTGATGTGTGTGTGTCTTACAATTACCTGTGATTGGGATGTTTTCCCAGGAGGATCTTCAAGAGACGGGGTTTCATTTGAAAACAACTCTTTATTGATTTGTGGGTCCATGCTACCACGGCCAAAACCACCTATTTACAGTATTATTCAGTCACGTGTAACTTAAAAAAGCATGAACCTCCTAAAAATAAGTTGCACTAACCTGATTCCCGCTCCAATCCTTCTCTTTCCTTAAGCTTCTGCGAAGTCCAACCTAGTATAGTTGGAAAAGTTCTAGGCACTACTCTCATTCGGAAGACAACCCTATCAACATAAAACATCTAAAAAGAGAAAAAATCAGTATAACACAGACGACTCTGTAAAATATAAAATGCAAACTAGTGTGTTGGAACTTATAAAGTTTTATGTTAAGGAAAATGAATACATACCATTAAGAACAAAACAGGCCCAGTAAAATAAGGATTTGACTTTCGCTTCCATTGAATGGTAGAATTAATTAAACTGGTCAAGGTATACTTGCACCAGTTTAATTTATTCACGTTACTCAAATCGACTAAGGAGCACAACACTCTTGAATTTGCAAATGTATTTGTGTTTCCAGATATGCAGGTAGAGATGAAGAACAACATAAAATTGAGCTTAAATCCTTCACTTGACCCCGCCATTCCTAAAATTCTATCGGGCATAGCATTGGTACGTGGAAAATCCCTCTGTAAACCCCACTCATCTCTCCACTTAAGGACCAAAGTCTTATAATCCTTAGGGTCTGTTGGCTTGTTTTGAGCTTCTAGCACATCAAATGGTCCGGTCGGGAGGCCAAGGGTTAGATGGACATCCTTTTCTGTGATTCTAACCCGCTCATTTAAAAGATTAAGTGAACAGCTATATGGGTCAAAGTTTTGAACAAGCCATTTTGAAAGCTTTACCGGTAGAACTGACGCTTCAACAAGACTAAAAAGGGAATGAAAACCCAACTCTTCAACAGCTTTTTTTTGCTCACTATTTAACCTCTGCAAGAGGTTAAAAAGGCCGTTCGGAGACATACGAGTCTTATAATCTTTGTCATCAACTGTATTTTCTAAAATAGTCGCAACATCTCGTTTTGGCCTATTAATGATTGCATCAGGGACAAGGGAAGTGGGTGACTGTTCTAAACATAAAAGACGTGGACTTTTCCTAAGAACTATAGAAGTCGATGGAACTAAAGGTGTGCAAGGTTCAGCAGTGTGCTCTTCCACAGCAAACTGAGCTTGTTTCCTTAAAAAAACAAGAACACAAAAAACATAAGTTTAAAATTCTAGGTTAATAAATTTAAAGTGATGTGTGTTTGAGAAAGATAAGAACCAACCTTTTTTTTCCATGATTTTTTTTCCACCTTAAACTTCCATGCTTTCAGATGGTATTAAATTACCTATAGAATAAGGTCACTACATGAAAAGTCCAGAATACAAACTCACTCAAATTTCCTCTAAGCCTAACAGCACAAAAGCATAATATTAAAGTACTTGAGCAGTGAACATCTTAACATATATAAAAATTCAACCAAACCAGAGCTCAAAAGAACCAAAACATGGCTGAAATTGAAGAGAAATGTATTAGAAACAAAACTAAACAAAACCAGCCAGTCAAAAAAAAAAGAGATATTAAGAAGCATGAAAATCATGGACAGATAAATCTGAATTCAGAATAAATGTAACAGAATCACCACAAAAATTGCACAGAACAATAGCATGAAAAATTCAGAGAAAGGGGGTGGGGGCAATACAACAGAGCTTTGGTGACAGAATTCCCATCTCAGCAATGGCTTTTTGGATCCAACCGTGCAACTATAAAGATTATATTCAAAGATGATACAGAAGTAGCTTCAGCAGGGGGAGAAAAATACCTTTCTTAGTGGTGCCACTAAACCTGGAGAGAAAATCTGAAACCAAAGAGACTACTGCGAAGGAACTGGCGATGGCGATTGGGGAGTGATTAGGGTTTATTTGGGTCGAAGGAGAAACATGAAGCTGATTGGGAAGAAAGGAAGAGAAATTAATGGTGATTGGGAGCGAAGAAAATGTACGAATAAGAAAGAATTGGGTGAAGCGACGAAGAAGAAAGAAGAAAGAAGACTGGGCGAAGGAGAGCGTAAAACAATGACCAGTGAAGCGCGCGCGCGTGTCATCTGATGGGAACCGTCATCTTACCGAAACTCGTCATCTAACCGGAGTCAATCCCATATATATATATATATATATATATATATATATATATATATATATATATATCAATTTTTTTATTAATGAAAAGAGGGAAAAAGAGTACAAGAAGGGGGGGGGCAACCCCACAAACCGGCAAATCTGAATAAAAGATCAGAAAACAATACCACAAAATAAAACACCAAGAACCCTATCTGGTTCACAAAAATGCAGCAACCAAGCATCAAAATTATGACCCAATCACGTTCATCCAACCCAGCCAGCCTATCCATAGCTTCCATGCTTAGAATGGGCCCCTAAGATTGTTGGAGTCTTGTAATTATCCTGAGTATACTGTGAAAAGAGTGATACCCAGTGAAAGACTTTTGGCATCGAAATGAAATCTGATCAGTAGTTCCTGCCAAGTAGCTATCAAAACCGTGTACTGTCCAAGTCCTGCGTATTGCAACCCCAAGAGACCCAAATACCCAAAGTGGGAAAGACCAAATAATCCCAAAGTGATAAAAATAGCTACTGACCAAGAAACCTGGTTAAATCTTCATTCCCATATGCATCCATATATAGATATTAATCCCTCCTTGTGATAAGCCAAACCAGTGTTGATCAAGAAGATTGAAAAAAATCAGTCGCAAGACTGTTCCCATAAAAACTGCTTAATACTAAAGTGATAACCACAGCTTGGCAGTCCCTCCAGAGTATAGGAACTCAAGAATCCTCCTAGTGGGCTTAGAAGTCCTTGTCAAGAATCTAGTCCATATGTGAGGAATTCTAAAAGCAAGAAAGCAAAGGTGCGACTGGAAACCACTTTGGAGTAGAGAACCTGCCCTGTGAAGTCAGTCTAGATACACGACACACTGATGCCCAATGAATTAGTCTGGAACAAAAGCCCAGTGATGCCTAATGAAACCAATAGATCAACTGCCTATGGACGAATAAGAGACAAGTAGAGAGATTTCTTGATAACTATGACCAAATTTGAAACCCAAGCTTAATTTAAAAACATGCAAATCTTGGCTAGAGCAAAAAACCTAATTAGCTTTACCTATAACCCTTCACACTATTCGTTCCAGATTGCAGATGCCAACCCACAAAATCAGAATTCTTCCAAGCCATTCAGCACACATTTAAAAACCTCGGCATAGCTTGTCGTGTTAATTGCCAAGCGCAAAATCTCCTCACAAAGAAGCAAAGTCGAAATGATGATTAAAAGATATCTTCTAGCTGATCTTCAAACCTAGCTAGTTTAAGCTTCTTTTTGGCTTTCTTTTTTTGGCTTCTAGTCAGTGGTTGCTAGTGTTTTTTAGGAGGAACCTCCTTCTGAAAAGGACAGCTTTTCTTGAAGGCTTCTATGATCTCGGCAGCAAATGTATCTGTTGGTTCATCGGGGTCCTCCAGGCAGCCTATAGGGGTCTTTTTTCTACCTTCATCTAAGAGTCGTGCTTTACTCCTAGTCACCATTTGAGAAGGGGAGAATGTTTTCCTACCTTTAAACACCCTTCCCAAAATAAGTGGTGTCTTAGAGCATCTAGAGGTGTCAATTTGGAGGGGTTTAATTGCATAATCTATAAAAACATTATCTTCACCCTCTGAATGGGTGTGTGTGTGTGTGTGTGTCTGTATATATATATTAGAGGAATAGCACAAAATTTGAATAGCCTCTTCTCAAGCAAGGCTAATTTCTCTCATCAAAATGCACAAAATTTCTTTCCTAGCTATTCTGGAACCTATGGTAAATATCAAAAAATTACACAAATTCTCCTCCTCACTTAACCTTTCCAACAGTATGTCTGCTTTGGAAAATAAAGCTTGGATTTTCTGGGACCAAAACATCCTTCAGCTCACTGATTATAAAGAGGGATACCAAGCAGTCACTTGCTATTTTATACATAAGGTGACAGGAAAAAATTTGATTATTACTTCAGTTTATGGAAGACATAGCTACATTGAAAGAAGAAAACTTTGGCAGGATGTTGAGGACCACTTTGTTAAGGATGACTTTTGGATAGTTGCTGGTGACTTTAATGCTATCTTAAATCCCACAGACCATAAAGGCAGCTCTTCACCAGACCAACAGAGTATGGAGGAATTTACAAGGTGCATGGATTTGGCCAACCTCTCACCACTCTCCCCAGACAGCAACATTTTCACTTGGACTGGTAAGAGAGGTAAGGGTCAGGTCTGGAGGCGTATTGAACGGGCCTTTGTTAATCCACCTATGTTTCAGCACTTTGAAAGCATCTCCCTTACGCATCTCAGCAACACAGGTTCTGACCACTGCCCTCTATTAATAAAATGTTCTTCTTGCAAGGAAGATGGGTCGAAGCCTTTTAGGTACATCAATGCCTGGGCCAACAGCCCCTCTTTTATGCCTCTTATTTCTAAGTTTTGGATAGAGAACCCTAACTATGGAGGGATGTTTGGTCTTCACCAAAAGTTCAAAAGGCTCAAAGAGACCATTAAGGTTTGGAACAGAGATATTTTTGGTAATATCTTTGCCAGGCTTTCTCAAGCAGAGGAAAGTGCTAAGATAGCTGAAGCTGCGTTCTCAAGTAACCCTTCCCCAGGAAACAGGCAGTCACTGTCCAAAGCTCAAGCTGAACTTCAAAATGCAAGCATCAACGAGGTTTCCTACTGGAAGCAAAAAGCTCACATCAACTGGATGGAGCTGGGAGATAGAAACTCTAAGTTCTTCCAATCTTATGTCAAGGGAAGAAGACAGATTCTCAAAATCAAGAAAATCAAAGGGGATAATGGAAGATGGGTTGAGGAATCATAGGGCATCAAGAAGGCAGCAGTGGATTATTTCTCTAAAGTCTTCTCAGCTGCTCCCATTCAACTCACCCATGATTTCTTCAGGCACATCCCCTTTTCCATAACAGAAGAGGATGACAGATTTATTAATGCTATTCCTGATAACAAGGAGGTAAAAGAAGCTGTCTGGGCACTGAATCCCAACAGTGCTCCAGGACCAGATGGCTTTAATGGAGATTTTTTCAGGAAAACTTGGCATATCATTGGTAATGAAATATGTATGGCATCTAAAGAATTCTTCCTTGGCATCCCTATTCTTACCTGGCTCTCTCTTATCCCCAAGAAAGAAGAGGCTTCTTCCTTTGAAGACTTCAGGCCAATTTCTTTATCCACTTTTCTTAGCAAAATTAACTCTAAGATTCTAGCCTCAAGGCTACTGAAGGTTCTTCCTAAGATTATATCAGATCAACAAATTGCTTTTCAAAAGGGAAAATACATTGCTGATCATATTCTGTTGGTGGAGGAAATGTACCATGAGATTAATAGAAAGGTTGACGGTGGTAA